GTTTAGTCATTACATTTTGATAAAAGGTTCAGTTCACTAGAATATATGACAATTCAAAATTTATATGTACCTAAAACATAGCTTCAACATATATAAAGAAAAAAATGACAGACCATAAAGAGAATTTGACAATCATTGTAGTGGAACCTTAACATACCTCTCTTTCAATAAAGGTTAAGTAGATAAGAATAAAGAAGATATTAACAGTACAGTCAGTGAGACTGATATAATTGACCTACATTGAACACTACATCTAACATAACTGTAGAATTCATGAAAATATTTACAAAATTTGATCACATTCTAGACTATAAAGAAGACTCACCATATCTAAAAAAAATTGGAATCATATAGAGCACAAAACAGTTAAGTTGAAATCAATAATTGAAAGATGACTTTTAAAAAACTTGTCTTTATTGAAAGTTGAAGACCAAAAGACCAAAATAAATGGAGATATACCATGTTCGTGGATAGGAACACTTAAGGATCTTAACAATGTTAATTCTTCCCAAACTGAGGTACAAAAATACAGTATAATTGCAATCAAAATCCTGACCGACTGTTTTAAATTTTTATATGAGAGAGCAAAGGCCAAGAATCACCAGTATATTCATGAAGAGGATATATGATAGGGAGATTTGTCCTAGTGATAGGAAGACCTACACTAGGGCAGTCCTAACTGAGACAATGTGATTTGGGTGCAAGGAGAGACCATAGGCAAGTGGATCCTACCAGAGAACCTGGATCTGACCCATGTGGGTGAGGGAGCCTGGTCTGTGACAGAGATGCTAGGATGGCAGGTCATTCAATGGGGAAATGGATTTTTACAACATAAAAAAAAACACTCTTTATGTATCAAGTACTTCAACACAAGAGAAAAGCATAGCACTTTTAGAAGAAATATAGTAGAATATCTTCCTGTACACGGGTCAGAAAAGGATTTCTTAAAACATAAACCATAAAGAAAATATTAATTTGACTACAGTAAATTTAAAAATTCTGTTTCTCTAAAGACACTATAAGGAGAGTGGGGAAGAGATCTTTTCAGCAGATATAACTAAAATAGGATTAGTATCTGAAATACATAAGGAGTTTGTGTGAATCACCAAAAATCAACCCAATAGAAAAGTGGGCAAAAGACACAAGCAAGCATTTTACAGAAAGGAGACATGAATGCATATCACCACAATGTGATGTATTTCCTGCCATGAGAGGTAGTTGCCTGGTGTGTTTTGTGATAACTCACTAAGTTGTTTATTTATGGATACTTACATTTTAGTCATTGTGTTTAGTATTTGTCTATGTTTCTGTATTCTGACACAACGTTAAGTAGAAACTGCAAGCCACAGAGAAAGACCTATATGATCCCTCTGCTGCTCCTCCCTCCCTCTCTCCTCCCCTCCTCATGATTTATGGGCACTGGTGGGAACTGGCAGTCTCATGTTTTAATGACAAAAATATCTCAAAAAGCGGAAATTCCCCTTAGCACTTTGGCCTCCTCCCTCCTTTTAAAAATGTAGAAATTGAGTCCCAGAGAGGTGAAGTGCTTGACTGAGGGCAGAGCCAAGAGGAGATGCCAGCTGACATCTGTCCATCAGCCCCCTCTGGGGGATGTTTATTTAGGCACCACGCTGCAGGTCCAGCACTTCCTCAAGATGTCAATTTACAGTCGTGGGTGAATGGGGACAGGGATTTATTTGCTTCTGTAGCCGTTGTTTCATAAAAAGCAGCAAGTACATTGCAGTGGGAATTGCTGAACTCTGGGGTGTCAGACTCCTGGGTGCGAGTGGAGCCATGCCTGTAACACACACAGCCAGTGGCTCTGGAGCAGACCCTGCTTGATGTGCCTCATCTGTTTAACTGCCAGGGAGGCAATGGAGAGACCTGGGGGCCTTCAAGGTCGGAGCTTGTGGACAGCGGGTGGGAAAATCCTGGTAGTTTCCATGACTACTCACCCCAGTCAACCTGGGCAGCACTTCACAGCCTGCCATTTACATACATGGTTCCCCCACTTTACAGATAGGCAGGGTGGGCCACGGGCACCAGCTGGGCCTATCTCCACAGAGCTGTCAGGGTTGTGGCCAACTGAGGTGGGTTCTCCTGCCTTCAGAGCCCCTTTCTTCCCACTGACAGACCGGCGCAGCATCTGTGAACTCTTGGGGATGCAGGGACAGGTAGGAGAGGGCCTGCCCTCATGACAGCATGCCAGCCTGGCTGTCAGACACATGAGCAGGTGATGGGGAGTCAGATAGTGGAACAGGAGAGAGAGCAGCCTGTCAAGGCTTTTTAGGCTCCTCACTGGCCTCCTCCCCTGGGGGAAGGACTAGAGCCCCCAAAGGGCTGGTCACACATGAGGCATTGTTCCTGTGTGAGCATCGTGTCTGCATGGAAACCCCAGTGTTGGTCAGAGCCCGAAGGATGCCTGGTCCTTGACGACCAACTGCCCTGAGCCAGACTGGGCTGGCCTTCGCTCTCCAATTTCACATTTGTCATCTCCAGAAATGGGGTTTCCTTTGCACCCTGGGAACTTGTAGTTACCTCCTTGTGAGAAAATCTTAGGCCTAGTTTGAACTCTCCCTTGTGGGTAGATTCAGAGCACAGCCCCTGCCAAATGCCCCCATGACTCTGTGTGACTTGTACACAGGGCACAGCTGCCCTGGCCCCAGGTCCATCAAGTGGGAGGTGGGGTTTGTAGGCTCACGTCAGTGCAGTTCAGTCCGCAGGAGGCCGAGGGTAGTCTTGTACACTCCTTAGACCTCATGCCCCAGGATGCCTTTGGGTGCTTGCTGTCCTTCTACAAGACACTTTCATGTCCCTGGAAAGAGGAGCCTTTGCTAGGCTGCCCAGCCATGCAGCAGGGTCTCAGACCCCTGCAGTCCCATTTCTGCAGGGTCCCTTGGCCTCTCAGAATCTCACCCGAGGCACAGGGGGTGCAACCAAGTCTCATCACTTGTTTTGTGATAGTGTCTCCCAGGAATGCTCTCTTGGCACCCTTCTCAGGGGCTTTGATGCCTGTCCACTCAGGTCACACTGTGCCTAGTGAAGTTAGGTCAAGGGACACAAGTGCTGGTCAGCAGGTGACCATCAGGCCCCAACCCCTGCTGTGGCCTTGACCAGCACCACCCCATCAGGGACTGAATCTGACCCCAGGTCACCAGGTCTCTTAACCTTCTCTCCTTAGGACCTCAGGCACAATAACTGCCTGGAGTGGCCTTGTGGAGTCTAAGATGTGACCAGTTGTCCCCAAGCAGGCCCACCCAAGTGCTGTAGGTCAGGGAGCACCCCAGCAGACAGGGAGACACCTGAGAGGGGGACAGGGCTGCTTTTCAGATGCACTTAGGATGTCCAGGAGGGAGGGAGGGAGGAAACTGGACAGCTCTGTAATGGAAATGCAGGAGTAGCATTTAGGAAGACGGACCATCTGCGTCCTAGCAGCTCATATTACCAGGGTTCTACCTCAAAGGTATGACCAGGAGGCCACAAGCTGGTCATGGCTCCGCTTCAGGCTGCAGCTGGGGACTACATGCCTCCTCACGCCAGGACCCTGACCTGTGGAAGCAGGAGGTGGCCAGACTGACAGTCTAGCGCACCACAAACCCCTCTCCCACAGGCTGCCCCACGGAGCTTGAGCTTGAGGTTGAGGACAGGACAGGAGGCTCTGGGGGAGGGGCCGTCGGGGGCAGGGTGGCCCTCCATGCACCGGGAAGGGGTGCTTGGCCTGTATCTTAGCACTGGCTAAATTGTTAGGGGAAATGCCCAGCTCTAGGAGACCAGCAGCAAACCCACTCATTGATGGCCCCAAGGGCTGGCTTGTGTAGGTGCTGGGATGTCAGAAACCCAAGTGCACAGTCGCTGCCTTCCTGAGACATTTTTGTGGAGCTGAAGGAGCCCAGATTCTGCAAGATGGGACAAATGTGGGCACCTGGTCAGATCCTCATGTCACCTGAGGATGCCAGCTCTGCTCCCTGAGGGCCCCCACTTACTGGCCTCTGGGGGATTTGCACAGGCCCCCGTTCTTGCCTCCTGATAGGGACAGGGTCCGCTCTGGAAGCTGCACTGGGAGCATTCAGGCTGGTCTTCCTGCTGAGAAAAGGCTGGGGGTTGAGGACATTTTCCAGAATGTGCTGTCCCACCCTCCAAGGCAGCTGGGGACCCGGGCCTTATGCCCCAACATCTCTGAAGAGTGGGAGGATTCTTAGCATGCAGCCACTGCCTTTGGCTCCCAGGTGTGGCCAAGTCTCACCACATTTACCTTTATCTTCTGTAATGTTTAGTTTTCATTTAAGAAATGAGACTCAGATAAAGTAACCAAAGAACTGCATTTCAAAGTCCCCTTCCCCAAATTCTAGTGGCTGAAGATAGGGGACAGGGAGACAGGGAGCCACCTGCGCCAACACAGTGGGCACAGGTGCAGGGAGGCCTCTGAGTACTCTCACACACACCCTCCACAGAACCTTCCAGCACTACATCCCATAATCTTGGAGGTCGCAGGAGGCAGAGTGTGAGGCAGGGCCTGCCTCAGGAGTGATCCAGGCCTAGCTCAGGGCTGGGACAGAGCAGGTTTGCAGAAGGGAGCATCACATGGGTTCCCCCCAGATGCACACTAACTCTGAGTGATAACATGACTGCAAAGCTCTTAGAGGCCCAGCTGGTCCTGTTCGGTGGCTCTCAGACTCTCCCTGTAAAACCCAGGGGCCCAGCAGCCTCCCTACTGGTCTGGGGGTTGCTCACCCACCCAGGCCCATGTGAATGGGGAAGTCTGGCTAGTTCAGGCCAGAGCTGCCAGGGAGCTAAGGAGAGGAAAGGAGTTCAGTGCACCCGCCTACAATAGCCCATTGGTTTTCCCAGGCCAAGTCCTTGAGTTCTACGTCTGCCATGTGTCCGCATGGCCCCTCTTTATATCTATTTGTACAAAGTTCTGTTACTGCCTTTTTTAATTTGGTGTGACTTGTACTCGATGACAATAACCTTCTTAGCTCTCATGTCCCTCCTACCCCCAGCAGTTGACCAAGCTCCACCAGTTGGCCATGCAGCAAACCCCCTTTCCTCCCCTCGGACAGACCAACCCCGCTTTCCCCGGTACGTACCCAGCTGCCCTTTCTGACCTCCTCTCTTCTCACCTGGGGACTTTCTCTTTCTGAACTGTCTTTATTCAGGGCAGTGACAGAGCAGGTACAGTTCTAGTTGTGAATGCCAAGGATGCGTTAACACACTGCAGTGTGCACGTTGCTGTGGGCCAGGCGGGAGGCCTGTGTGTCCCCTAAGGTGGGTTAGTCACCTCACAGCTGGTCGTCTTGTGAAGGGACAGCTCCCCCTCAAGGGTCCAGGCCTATTCTCCACTGCCTGCAGACATAGCGGCGTGCCCTTTCTGCTGAACACATCCATCTGGCCAGCCCTGGAACCTATGGTCTCCAGGAGCAAGAGCTCGGACAAGCAAATGAGGATGTTCTTCTGCAGAAGGCCAATGCACGTCACAGGACTGACACCCACCCAGGACAGCACCTGCCCTGCCCTGCGAAAACCAAGATAGTCCCCAGCCCAGGGCACAGTGGTCCTTAGCTCCCTTTTGGGCACAGGGGCAGGGGTGGGTTTCTTCCGATGACACACAGAGCATTTCCTTGGCAGCTGTGGCCGGTGAGAGCCCACCAGACACACTGGTCTGCCGTGCGCCAGTCAGATTTTGAGCTTCCCTAGTTGAAGTGACCTTGCTTATCTCCTTGAGGGCAAAACATTAAATCTGTTTCTTCTTTGCTCTCCAGGAGAAAAGCTGCCTTTACACTCCTCCGAAGAAGCTCAAAATCTGATGGGCCCGTCGTCAGGTAAAACAAAGCACTGTAGTGGACAGTGGAGGCCTGGGCACCTGGGCACGATCTGGGCAGGAGGGGACAGCCAGCGCCTCGGCAAAGGGAAGCCTGTGCCGTGGAGATGGAGCCTGTGTGCCCACACCAGATTCATACCCCCAGTTCCCAGCTTTTGCCTTGGTCACTGCTGGGAGTGTTGTGGTGCGTCATGGGCTCCAGAGGTGCTCAGAGCACTGCTGCCTGTCATCCAAAGTCCCTGAATGTGGCAGAGCAACCATCTCTGTTGTCGTTTGTCTAGTGGCACAGCGTGTGGGGGCCTGCAGTGCAGACTTTACCGTGACATGTGCCTTCCCCAAATGTGCTTCCTAGGAGGCGGGAGCATGCCTTCATGGATAAGAGCACTCTGGGTACCCCTTCTGATTCAGTTAAAACCGTTCTAGGACACCACAGGACAGCAGGGAGATTTGTAGGTCCCGTTACCCAGGGCAAGGAGCAGCGAGGCCACTGGCATAGCGGGTTTCCCATCCCACTTGAAATCCTGAATAGAGCAGAAGAGCAGGTGTCTCGCTGAAGGGAAGATGCAGGGGAGGAGCCTTTCCAGCGGTGTTGGCTGTCACCCCAGTGGTATGTTCTGAGCCCCAGGGTGCAGCTGAGGCTGGAGGAAGCCCCAAGACTTTCTCAAGCTGCGTCTGGGTCCAGCTGTACACACTGGGGCTCGTGGGCATCTCAAGGCTGAGACACTGGCCCCGATGTTCCATGTACTGGTGATGGGTTCTATCTCGGTATAGCCTTTAGTTAAGTTAATGAAGAATTTAGTGAATGAAAATTAGAAAAAATATTTATAGAATGTTTTGATTATGGAAATGGATAGCAACCCTTACAAAGTTAATATCTGGGTGATATACACGTCTCTGTACAGCCCTTACCAGCTTATAATGTGATTTCCTATAATTCCCCAGCAAAGGCCTCCTGGAAATGACCTGGGAACCCCCCTGGCCCCTCCCCATGGCCTTCAGGCCTGAGGGATGGGGTCCCTCACTCCTCCCTGTGACGACCTCCCTCCCCAAGCCGGTGTGACCTGAAGCTCATGCGCTCTCACGCATACACGGACCTCACGCGTTCACATGCACGCACATGCATGTCCCCCATCGCAGCAGGTTAAGCAAGGTGGTTGTGAGGAGAGGCATTGCCTTGTTTGACAGGACCCTGAAGGCTGATGTCAGCGTTGCTTCCAGAGCTGGCTTGTGTTGTGTTGGGGAAGCTTGTTCTTGTCCCAGAGCAGGGATGTTATCATCTCAGGAGAGAGACACTCATCCCTGGGCGCAGAGCCCTGACACAAAGGAGCACAAGTTTTAAACAATATATCTTCACATTATTAGTTCAGTTTTACTTTCCTCTGGAAAAGAAATCTGATACCTTCCTCCCCTCAATCAAACTACCAAGTTGAACGAATATGACTCGCGCCTTTATGTCCATCCCAAGCCAGGCTGCTAGGAGTTTCTGTGTAGAACTCAGACAGGACTAAGGAAATATCTTAAATGACATTTTAAATGTCACTATCTATAGAATGTGTATAGGTGCTTGAACAACCAAATAGGCGTATTGAAAATACCCTTATTCAAAGAAGCTAAAGAACAGGAACTCTAGGTTTAGCTATGCAAAAGAAAACTAACAGACGATTCAGGATGAACTGGTTCATGCTGCACCTGCCAACTGAGACCTGTGCTCAGCGGGCCCCCAGGACAGTCCTGCCCTCACAGGGTCACTCATGGCAGGGAAACAGATGGCCACAGTACATCTTGTTTTGGGGACATGAGTGCTGTGGAGGAAGAAGCAGGAAGAGGGGCGGGGGCTGTGAGAAGGTGGGAGGTGAGACTGGGCACAGGCCAGCCCCAGGTCTGGGGTTGGGGAGCATGGAACAGACCTGGGGGCACAGGGAAGAACCTGGAACTCTTGGTGGGTTTTGAGTCTTGAAGGCAACTGACCTGTGTTTGTTGGGACCTCTCTGGGCTGTATGGAGATTAGACTGAGAGGCAAGGACAGAGGAAGGGACCAATGTGGGGTGGGAAGAGGGCTCGTGTTCCAGAATATTCTGAAGGTAAATGAGCTCAGTCTGTGTAGTTAGCTGTGGCTGGAGAGAAGGAGGTGAGCCAGGGGGCTTCAGGGTCTGAGCTGAGCTGTGGGACCTGAGATGCTGGGACCACGTGGAGCCTGGGGGGAGAAGAGCAGGGTCTCAGCTGTGGACTTTGGGTTTGAGATGCCTCCTGAGAGGAGATGAAAGTGCTGGATACAGGAGCTAGTCTGTCTTGGGCCTTCGTCCCCACTGGTTCCCCCACCACAGTCCCCACATGCATTTTATTGTCAAGCAAGAGTAGATCTTGTCCTGAACTCTGAAGAACTGTCTTGATTTGGCAGGTCCTAAGCAGAGGTTTTCCAAGATAGAGATTGGGACTTGGTGACAAATTAGGCCTGTGTCTTCATCTCCAACATAGGACACCCATACAGAAAGACAGCCTTCCAGTGGCCCAGCAGTCTGTTTTTGAATCAGTGATGCACCAGACTGGAAAAACTGCACACTAGGCCGTGAAGCAGGCTGTGTAGTGGCCTTTGGGGGGTGTAGGGTCAGAGGGCAATGAGAGACAGCTGACACCACAGCAGGTCTGGTGAGCAGCAGAGGGAACAGAGAACCCATGGAGGACAGGCACAGGGTCGCAGGGTTGCATCCTGGGCACCCCTTGGAGTCCCCAAGACATGGCCACACCCGAGAGCTGCTTAGCATGGTGCTTCCTGCGTGTCTGTGAAGGGCTTCGAGAGCTGTCCCTCTACATGGCAGAGGAGGAACATAATGATGTGCCCCAAATGAGAAAGTGAAACGTCATTCTGCTGGGTTTTGTTTTCCTTGTTTTGAGAGAAGCAGGGATCAGGAGTTGCATTGCAGTCGAGCAGAGAGCTCACAGGGCCCTTGGCCTCCAGCTGCTCTGACCCTACCCTGCCTGTGTGGGCTGAGCATGGACCAGGCACTGGGCTGCGATGTGAGCAGGCTTCCACCAGTCTAATCGTGTACCCTTGGTGTGCCCAGGTCTGGATGCCAGCCCCCCAGCCAGCACTCATGAGCTCACCATTCCCAATGATGTGAGTATGCCCAAGCCTCCTTGACCTTATCCTGTGACCTCCCCCTTCCTTCCCACATTAAGCAGTTTAATGTCTATAAAAGTCCCTGAAATACCAGATAAAAAAAGAAATAGGGGGCTTGAGGGTTTACTCAGAATTCAGATGCCAGAGCTGGCTGGGAAGCTGAGGGCCCCTCTGACCCCATGTGAAGGCACTGCCCTGGTTCAGGGTTGGTCCTTGAAGAATGGTGGCCCAGGGATGCTCTGAAGTGGCCCTGCCCCATGCTTCCTGGGTCTCTAGAGGGTTTGGGGTTCTCTGAGTCTGCAGGATGTGGGGGTGTCGCAGGTTTGTCTGGTTTCCTGGATCTGGTTTCCTGGATCCACCGTCTTCCTGCCTGGGCTCAGCTGAGTAAATGGCCTTTCGAGCTCCCTTCACAGGTCCTCCTGCATCATCCTCTGAATCCTTGGATCATACTAAGAAAGTTGACTTGGATCCTCAACCTAAGATGCCAGGGCAGATGTGAGCCATGTGTCCTGGAGGGGCAGCTGCCCCATGCACCACAGAGAGGCTGCTGTGTGGGGGACATGGGCTTCCTTGCCCTAGAACTGTGGCCTTCAGTAACCTTCACTGCTTCGCCCCTCACACCAGCTTGGCAGGAAATCCTGCCTCTTCCCTTCAGTAGATGGACCACAGGAAGCACAGATTTGTGACCTTGGGGTGCCCGCCTTTAGTGCAGAAGATGGGCAGTGGGGGAAGTTGGACAAGAGGGCCCTGCAGAAGAGACTGCTCTTATCAAGGACCCTTGTGCAACTGCAGGCCAGGCTCCTACATGGGGTGATGTGGCTCTGTTTCTGCTTTCAAGGGCTCCAGACATGTCCTCCCACTGTAGCTGGTCCTCAAGCAGTGGCTCTGGGCAGCCCGCCAAGTCTTTTCACCCACACGATACGTGCAAGTTGCCGCTCTACCATGGGCTTCCCCCTTTGTAGCCCTTCCCTAAACCACCATTTCATCAACACCAGGTATCCTGCTCTGATCTGGACCTTTGTTTTAAAACTGAGATGAACCTAAAAAGCAAGGGGATAAGCTTGTTTGGAGAGCCGGTATGCCTGTTTCCTGGGTGCCCTCCTAGTGCACGGCTGCCACCTTCCTGCTGGGGGAGCTACTCGGAAGACGCCTTCTGGGACCTGTGTGCCCTGCAGAGACACTCCTTGACCCTTCCTGGCAAAGGATCTCTTGCAGGGGACGTGTGCCCCAGGGCCTCCTGCCACCTTGGAGAGAAGGAAAGAAGTAGAATGTATTTCTAATGGGACACTTGCCTGTCATTTTCTCTGTCTCCACCTCTTGGTCAAGGTTAGATGAGACAAAGAGAAATTGTGCTGACACTTAAATGTCACCAGAAAGGAACTCTGGACTGCGAGATGAATGTGATGACCTAAGTGATGCACAAGTCCACAACACAGCCAGCCTGCCCTTGTGGCCATTGGGACCCAGGCTGGGTCAGGACCAAGACCCGTGCGTGGAGCTGCTCCAAGCAGCTGGCAGTCTTGGGCTCCATCTCTGACTGTCACAACTTGCCTCACTCATGTCACTGTTCCTGTGGGGACCCCACACTTGGGCTCCTTCTACTGGGACAGGGAACCTAAGGGCTCACACAGGCAACTGCAGGAGGTGTGGTAGGTTAGATGTGCCCTGTGGTTCCTGTGGGGTTGGGCTTGGAAATCTAGTTAGGAGGGGGCTGTGATATTTGAGAGAACCTCTGTAGTCTTTCTTTAAATGCCCAATGGAGACACAAAAGGCTTAGAGGAGCGCTGGTCTCTGGGCTGAATGTGCGAGGGGCCTGGAGAGCCAGAGAGGCCGTGTGGAGGGGTAGCCCAGGGAAGAGCTGATGGGCCTTGCGTTCCTGTCCAGGTTAGAGGGGCCTATGACTTGTCACATCCCCCTCTAGCTGCTTAGAAGAGCCTTGTGCTCAGCCAGGTGTCGGTGTTGGGGGCTGTGACAGCTGTGGTTTCTCATTAGCACTCAGGCTGCACAGTTTTATCTGGAAGAGAGATGTTCCATGTGAGTGGGGGCGCAGCTCAGGGGCCCTTGGGCGTGAAGTCTCAGGAAGGGGAGATGCCTTGAGAGCGGGCAAGAAGAGAGGGGTGGGCATGAGAATGTTTTCAGCAAGAAAATGGGAAGACAAACCTGTTTAAGAGAATGTAGAGAGGGCATGCCAGAGGAAATGTACCTCAGATGGCTTGCTGGAGCAGAAACAGCAGGCTGTGCAGCAGGCGCTCAGCACTGCGGGGCTGGGCAGGGCCACTCACACTGAAGTGCAAAGGGGAAGTTTCTAGTGGCCGAGGAAGGTGTGGGGACAGAGGGAGGACAGCAGGATACCAAGTCAGGGTGGGGAAGCTCAAGCAGGCCTTCCTGAGTGCCAGCATCTTTGAGGATCTCAGCTGGCCCCACATTCTCCCTCCAGTGCTGATTCCCCTGCATCTGCCCCAGCGGGCCTGCCAGTCACCTGCCTTGACTGGCCCTGGTCAGAGAGGAGCCCTCAAGATTTCTCTGCCAGTGGGAGGGTGCCAGGGAAGAGCGAGTCAAGGATCTCAGGCCGGTAACTGGAAGTCACTCTCTCTGACCTCCGGGCCAGGCACAAAGGCATAAAGGGTGAAGCCAGAGACATATGGGCAGAGCCTGGGGAGGTAGATGGGCCCAGGGGTGTGTGGGCAGAGCCTGGAGAGATGAGGGTAGAGTTTGGGGGACTTGGGCAGAAGGTGGAGGAAGCTGAGCAGCTTGGGGAAGTTTGGACATTTGGGGAGATTGTGTTAAGGTCTAGTGAGGCAGCTAACGTAGGAGAGGAGCAGAGATGGCCTTACAGATGAGCAGAATTGAGATGCTGTTAAGTCACCTCAGGGACAAGAGCTAGTCGAGGTGCACCCGTGTCCCTGGAAAACTGTTGTCACCCCGCAGATTCAAGTCACTTCATTTGGAAATGGATTTCCTCCAGCCCAGCCCCAACCCCTGCACCTACCACCTTGCTGACACAGAACACAAGGACTGATGTCACCACAAGTGCTAACACCCCATGCAGGCTGCCACAGGAGAGGTGGACAGGAAACCGGCTGCCCAGGCCCCACTTGTCCGGCCTCTTCCTTCTGTTCTCCTGCTCAGAGCTCTCATCAGCAGCCCCCATGTGAATGAAGGGACTCAGTTCTGTCCATGGACTTGGACTCCCGTGCACAGCAGGGACCTCAGGCTGCAATCTGCCCCACGCGTGGCTATCCTGTGTCCCAAGGAGGCCCTGGCTCTTGTCCCTCTGGCTGTTTCATTCTTGATGACTGTCTACTCCTTCAGATGGCTGAGTGGGCAGCGGCCACTGCATCTATCCTTCAACAGAGGTCACAGGATGGGAAGGAAAGGGAACATCTGATGTGTCCTCAGAATTTCACCTGTTTTTCAAAAGACAGGTTTCAGGCAGCAGCAAGCTTTACTCTGGCTTCAAACAAACATCCCACCACCCTGAGAACCCAGCCAAGAAGGCGCCAACATGGCCTTAGCCTTGGTGCTGGCATTAGGCCTCTGGGAGCTCAGAGGACACTGGGCAGGTGATAGCCGCGTGATTCTCTGGTCTCTTGATTTGTCGGGATGGTTCACAAATAGGGCACTAAGTAGCACCCTGGTGCCCACAGCTCCCATCCCTCCCACAGGAAGGCAAAGCCTCTTTTTTCTGGAAGCAAAGAGTTGGTGTGGGGTGGAGACCAGGTCTGGGCCATCCCCACAGGCTTCCCCAGGGCTCTGCACTCTGCTCGGGGCTGCCATGGGCTCTTCTCTAAGAGATTCCTCCACCCTTTTTTCTAGCTAATAGGCTGTATAATTGGACGCCAAGGGACCAAAATTAATGAAATTCGACAGATGTCTGGAGCTCAGATCAAAATCGCCAATGCCACAGAAGGGTCATCAGAGCGCCAGATCACCATCACGGGGACCCCAGCCAACATCAGCCTTGCCCAGTACCTCATCAATGCCAGGTGAGCGCTGGTCCGTGGGTAGGACTCTCAGGGACTGGCTAACTATAGGCGTGGGTATCCTTCTTCGGGCCTTCTCTTCCCGGGCTGGGCCTAGGCATGGGAGATGCTGGAGTCTCCACAAGACATGGGACCTTTCTCACTTGACCTTTCACCCTGAAGGATCTTCACTGAGGGGCTAGGTGGTTAGAGGCGAGAGTATTTTTAGGAAAGCAGTGGCTGTGTCGTCCAGGGCCTCGAGTCAGCCACACACCTGGGTTAACTGAAATTTAGCATAAAGGGTTCTGTGGTTTCAGAGAAATGTCGCTACGTCATTCTGCTCTCACATGTGGGGTGGCTGTAAAGACCCTCCAACCCAGGCACTTGCAGAGCAGTGCATGAGGGAACTGTGGGAGGGTTCAAGGTTACACGCGGGGGGAGGGGAGGTCCTGCAGCCCAGCCAGGGCACGTGGTGAGGAGCCCGAAGCGGTGGACAGCTCTCCTGGCCACGCCTCGCCACTCACCTGACCTCCCTCCCCAGGGCACATTAGAGAACACAGTGTGGCCACAACCAGGGAGATGGGACCTTTCAGGGGGGCAGGAAGCACCCTGCCTCCCCTCTACCTGGGTCTAGACCCTCCTCCCTACCCAAGAATGTTGAGGGGGTTGGAGGGAGGCCCAGGCAAACAGGAAGACAGCCCCTGTGGGCAGTGTGACTCCAGCGCCCCTCCCCGAGTGGTTGCCGTAGAAATGGCTGTGGTGGCCTAGGATTGTTTAGGTGGTTCTTGCCATGCCCCCATGTGATAACAGGCACGGGGGCCCCTGGTGGGTCCTCCTCCCTCTCCTGGGCTTTGGTCTCCAACTCAACGCTATAGAGCAGTGACCTGAGACTATCTGTCCCAACAAGGAAAGAAATAGATACCAAGGCTGTGAGAATGCCACAGAGCAATACATTTCCTGTCTGACCTCATTTTATGAGAACACTGACCTGTCTTGCGGTGCCTCCGTCTCTTGCAGGCTGACATCTGAGGTCACTGGGATGGGCGCGCTCTAATCCTGCCCAGCATCCTCCACACTGCGAACCCTGGCGTCCACCTGGCTCGCACGCTCTGTACAGACAGCCCGCCCTTCGTCACAAATACAAATAGAGATTTTCTTTACTAACAAAATGGTCTATGCCATAGAGGTACACATGCCGACAAAGCGAGTATATCTACAGCTGTCTCTGAGCTCCAGGCCTGTCCCTGACTCTGCGCATTCAGTAACTTCTGCTCCAATCCACTCACGCGTCCGCATGCAGTGCTTACTCTGTTCAATGCTTGGGGACGTTCCCATCTGTGACATTTTAGAAATGTTGTTCCTTAGTGTCAGTGTAACTGTTTTAAGAGTTGGTTTAATATTTTGACAGCACTTCCTATCAGCCATCCTCTCCTCAACCATGTAGACCTGTGGCTGCCCTCTCTCACCTGGCCCACCTGCTGACTTTGTTTCCCCTCGCATCCTTGCTTGTCTTGGCCCATGTGTCCATGCAGGTCTTGTGCTGGGGCAGGCTGCGCCCTTCCCCTTGTGCAGAGGGGAGAAAAAGCAGGTGCCAGGTTCTGACCTGAGAAGTGGGGTGTAGGGGGTGGTAGGCCCTGACTTCACAGAGATGTCGTGTGGAGGGCCACACATGGGCCCTGGGCGGCTTCCGGGGTGGCTGGAGGGTGCGGACTCGCCAGGAAGCGCCTCTGCACCATGTCGGAGTTCAATAAATGTCGTGGGCTGCCCCGACTGGCTCTGGCTCCTCTCTGTGCCCCTCGCTCAGACCTTCCTCCTGCACACATGTGCTCACACACCTAGTCACACACTCCTGAGACCTGGCCCTGTGGCCACCTGCTGTCTAAAGAAGCTGGTTCTCACACAAATTAAGACTTCATTCCCCCCTCTCCCAACCCTTTCTTAAATGTTTGACTTGCACAGGTCTTTCTAGTTTTACTTTTGCAAAACTACTTATATGACAATAATGAAAACTCCATTCTTGCCCTGGCTTCAAAGTGGCAGTTTCTTTCTTGTGGAACTAGCCTTTCCCACTGCCTCCATGGTCGCACATGGTGACCCCAGTCACTTCCCGGCATGTACATCTCACCCTTTCACCCAAATATCTGCTTGCTCACCTGTGCTAACCTTGAATGAGCCCACGGTCCCTTCTGGACGCTGAAGCCCTGGTTGGGACACAGGCCCCTGGCAGCAGGAGACTTACAGGCGGGCAGAGACCATTTCTCCCAGAACCCATCAAGCATGCGGTGGTAGGTGTGGCCTGCCTACCACACCTGCCTCTCAGCAGGAGCCCCCTTTCTATCTACCCAAACTCCGGACACACCTCAGGTGCTCGTCCTGTGTGCCTAGGCCACTGGAATACACTCCCATTGCCTCCCCAGGAACCCCCTGGTCATGATTGGGTGCACAGCATAGCAACACCTGGCCACACTTCCCACCACATAGTTTAAGGCCATGTGATTCACTCACCCACTGGACATGTTGGCCACATGCTGGCCACCACTTGGGGCCTGAAGGCGGCAGGGATGTGGTGGACACAGGCCTTCCTCTGGGCACCCCCACCAGCATAGGGGCAACAGGTGGCCAGTAAACAAGGTGAGTAAGTGCCTTAGAAAGCAGTAGATGTCTGTGATGAAATAAACCCAGCAATAGGAGGGCATCAGAAGTGCAGGGTTAAATGTTCAGCAAGGTGAGCCCAAGAAGCTGTGGCCCAGGTGGGCGCCTGAACTGGTGCAGGTAACACCAGGAGGGACACAGGCTCTGGAGGCTGTGGGCACTGCCAGAAGATGGGGCCAGGCCAGGGAGCGTGGGTTTTGGAGGCATTTTGAAGGAAGAGCCAATGGGATTCCTGACAGATAAGATGCAGGCTGTGAAAGAAAGGGTCTAGGACTCTAGGTGGACAGAAGGTTCTCAGTCTGCTCTCTGGGGAAGCTGTAGGAAGGTGGGGGAAGGTCTGGGACAGGTGGGGGTTAAGATATGCGGGCTCTGAGGTACGACTGGAGCCTGTAAGGTGGCAGCAGCAGCCCAGGAACAATTTGGGGAACACTGAGGGACTCCACGTAGGACACCCAGCAGGAGTCTGAACAGGGGCTGTGCCCAGATGGAATGACCCTGTGCCAGGTGGGTCACCTGCCTCACATGATGCCCAGCACCCTAAGGAGCTGGACCCCCAGACCACAGTTAGGAGGTGTTTTCAGGGTGGGCTCACCCTTGAGTGTCTAAAAATAAAACTGCTAAGAACATTCATGTACAAGACACTCTGTGGACATATTCTTCCATTTCTCGTGGGCAGATACTTAGGAGTGAAGTGGCTGGATTATTTGATAGGTGGATGTTTAACTTTTTAAGAAATTTCTAATCTATTTTCTACAGTGATTGTACCATTCCACATTCCCCTCACATGTGGGAGTACCGGTTCCTCACACTCTCAGCAACATCTGCTCACTCGGTCTTTAATTCTAGCCATCTCAGTGGGTGTGAAATGGCATCTTGTTGTGGTTTTAACTTGAATTTCCTGTGACTAAGGATGTTGGCCATTTTTTCGTGTGCTTATTTGCCATCTGTATCTTCTTTGTTGAAGTATTTGTTTAAATCTTTTGCCCATTTTTAAATTTGGTTTTCTTACTGAGTTTTGAGAGTTCTTTATATATCTGGATATGAGTCCTAAGGTACATGCTTTGCAAATATTTTATTCCAATCTGTAGCTTGTCTTTTTATTCTCTTAATGATGTCTTTTGAAGAACAGAAGTTTTTAACTTTGAAGTCCCAGCTATCAGTTTGTTCTTTTATAGATTGTGCTTTTGGTGTCATATTTAAGAAATCTTTGTCTAACCCAGGATCACAAAGATTTTCTCATGTGCTTTCTTCTAGAAGTTTTGTCATTTTATTCCCTCTCTGAATTGCCTTTGCACCTTTATCAAAAATCAGTTCTACATATATGTGTGAGTTTATTTCGGGTTCTAGTCCTTTTTGTATTTCTATATGAATTTTAGATTCAGCTGCTAATTCCCCACCAAAAAAAAAAAAAAAAAAAAAGCCTGCTGGAGTTTGGGTTGAGATGGTATGGACCTATTGATTAATTTGTTGATAATCGACAGCTTTCATTATGTGGAGTCATTTAACCCATGAACGGGTATATCTCTCCATTTATTTATATCTTAATTTCTTTCAGCAATGTTTTTAGTTTTCAGTGCACAGGTTTACAAATGTCAGACTTGTCCCAAAGTATTTCATATTTTCTATACTGTTTTAAATTTTTAACTTTAGTTTACAATTGTTCATTGTCAGCATATAAAAATACAACTGATTTGTGTATATTAATCTTATATCTTACAACCTGTGCAACTCACTATAATTGTGGATTTATCTGTTTCCCCTTGCATTTCTATCCATTTTACTTCATTTGTTTTGAAACTCTATTGTTAGGAGCATAAATTTTTAGTACTGTTATGTCCTCTGGATCAATTGACTCCTTTATTATTATGAAATTGTCTTCTTTGCCTCTAATATTCTTTTCTCTGATACCCACTTTGTCTGATATCCACTATAGCTTTCCTTATATTAGTGTTATCATAGTATATTTTTTCCACCCTTTTACTTTAACCTAGTTGTGTCTTATATTTAACATTGTCTTTTTAATCCAATCTGATCATCTCTTTTCCATTGGAATATTTAGATCATTTACATTCAGTGTGAGTATTGATATATGTAAATTTAAATCTTATCATACAACTATTTGTCCCACATATTCTTTGTTTCCTTTTCCTTCATTTTCTGACTTTTTCCTGGATTCTCCTAGTATTTTTATTATTCCATTAGTTTCTTTGTTGGCTTAATAGCTATAACTCTTTATTTTGTTATTTTTGATTTAGGGTTTGTAAACTTCTCATAATCTACCTTCAAGTGATATCACTTCACACATACGTATATAAGAACCTTAAAGTAGTCTACTTTCACCTCTCCCCTCCTTGCTTTTATACTATTGTTTTACACTTTATTTATACATATATTATAAATTCCACGTTACATTGTTATTTTTGTGTAAAAATTCATCTCATATATTTTAAAGATGTATATAAGAAAATGTCTTATACACTTACCCATGGAGTTACCATTTTCAGTGCTTTTCACTTCTTTGTATAGGTCCATATTTCTGCCTAGTATTCTTTTCCTTCTACCTGAAGAAAATCTTTGCCATTTCTCATAGTGCCAGTCTACTGTTAAGGAATTCTTTCAGGAATGTATGTGTGGAAAAAATCTTTACTTAACTTTTGATCTTGAAAGAATTTTTGTTGGGTTTAGAGTTCTGTTGTGACAAGTTTGTTTGAGTTTTGTTTGTTTTTGTTCAACACTTTAAAGTTGTTGCTCCAATGTCTACTTACTTGCATTGTTTCCAACAAGAAGTCTGCAGTTATCCTCATCTTTGTTTTCTGTATGGAATGTGTCACTTTTTTTACTGGCTTCTTTTAAGATCTTTCTTTTTATTGCTGGTTTTGATCATTCAGTTATGGTGTGCCTTGGTATAATTTCTCATGTGTCTCATGCTTGTGATTTCTCAAGCTACTGGGACCTACATGGGTTGCTAGTTTTCATCAAATTGAGGATTTTTTCAGTGATTACTTCTTACAATATGTTTTCTGCCCTCAACCCCATGCCTTCCTTTCCTTCAAGGTCTCCAATTACACATATATCAGACACTTGAAGTTGTCTCACAGCTCACTGCTCTTCTGTTTATTATTTTAATTATTTTTTTCTCTCAGTGTTTTATTTTGGGTAGTTAATAGCAATACCTTCAAAGTTCACCATCTTTTCTATGGAGTGACTAATCTGCCATCCCCTCCAACCCTTCCAGGTGGTTTTTTCCTTTCCTTGAGTACTTTCCTTACTCACATGCATTGATCGGGACTCTCTTAAATATTAAAGAGGGACCCCCAGCAGATCTGAGGTTCTCTCTCTCTACAGCCCTGTCCTTTTCAGTACTCTCTCCTGAAAACTCTCACTGCATTGACCTCACCAGAGTTTGGGTTAGATCTACTCATTTAAAGTAATACTCCAAGCACTACAGCCTGGAAACTCTCAAGACAGTTACCTGGGCAATTGCAGGACTTACCTGGTTTGCTTCCTCTCTCTCTGAGTTCACTGTCCATTGCCCCACATCCACTGTGTTCAAAATCATTGTTTCATATATTTTGTTTCTGTTTTGTTTTTTTCTTGTCTCAGGCAGGAATATAAATCTTCTTTGTCATTCTATCTTTATGGGAAGCAAAAGTGCCTGGTTTATTTCTTTTACTTACCCCTGCATTTTACACACATTTCCCCATTAATTTGATTAATTCTTCATCAGCTGTTCTGAATAAATTAATCACATTGTTTATTTCATGTTTACATTTTTCTAAGTGCTTTGACAAAATTACATCAAATTAAGAGTTAGTATAATAATTTCCATTACTTGAAAACTGCCAGTTTTTAACATGACCCCTGAAATGTAAACCTTTTAAAATGTAGTAACTGTGACAACTTATGTTAGCGCCAGATGTTCTTTCTGTTTCTCAAGACTAAGGTCCAATGCCTTCTTCTTTGGCATGTGTGCCCTGATGTTATATTTTTGCTGATGGCCACCGAGGTGTGCCAGTGCATTTACAGAACAAATCCGTCTTCCCACTAATTCGAGAGATGCCTTTGCATATACTGACCGCCTGTTCCAACTTACTGGCCCATCGTTCATGGAAGTTC